GGATCCACTAGAGGTAGGGGCAGTTCATCAGGGCTATGCCACAAGGGATAATAGAACATGGGTCCCGAACAGTAGAGCAAGTTCATCGGGAAACAGACAGACATCTAACGAACGACCAACGCAAGGCACACATGCGACTGGGAGAAGTGATTCCGGTAACAGAGGGCAAGCAAGCCCGGGGAGGAGTCATGTGGGCCAAGCGGGAAACACTCACGGCGATTCGGATTGCAGGGATGCACCGCATACAGAGCCTTTGACAAGGTGTGAGGACACTCAGGCGGGACACTCAAGGGATGCTACGGCAATGGCAACAGCCTTTGAACCCCTAAACAGGTTTTTGGAGACATTCCTCACAAGGTTATCCAGAACCAATGAACGCAGTGAGAAGTCCAGAAGAGTCTTTAAGAAACCAAGATGCTATAAAGACGAATCTGATGGCTCTATTGATACCTGGATAGAGGTAATGAAGCTGCATTTTGAAGAAGAGGACTTGTCGGAGAGACAGGAATGCAGTGCGCTCACCAGCAACTTGGAAGGGACAGCCCTGAACTGTGTCATGGCCAAGAAGCAATATCAGCGTGACACAGCTGAGAAAATCTTCGAAATCTTGTTAAACCGTTTCGGATCAGGGATGCAGGGGCACCAAGCGATGATGCGCTTCGAGAAACGGAGGCAACGAGAAGATGAAACGATAGACAAGTTTCTCGATGACTTGGAAATGCTGAGAAGACGCAGCCAACCGGATGAGTCAAACCGAAGGATGAACCTGGCCGTAGCCTCAAAATTCATCGATGGTGTGAAGAATGATGAACTTCGAACAATGCTAGCAACGCATTACACACCACTATCAACCAATGCGCCAACACCAGAGGAGTTGAGGCTCAAGTCAAAAGAGTATCTTTTGTTGAAACCTCCTTCGAGATCTGGATACTACAAGAACAATTATGGCAATTTTAACAACGGACCAGCAAACCAAGGGAACAATTGGTACAAACCGAGGGATGATATGGACAAGAGACGCTCTTGTGCCAATTGCAGTTCAACGGACCATCATGTGTCAGCATGCCCAACTTACAAACAAGGCATGAAAGCAATAGGTTTTAGCCTCGAGGACGAAAATGCGTCAGAAGTTGACCATGAGGATTTCATGAGAGGAGTAATTGCAAAATTCGGCCCGAGGTGTTTCTTTTGCAACTTGGAAGGTCATTTTAAATCAGATTGTCCACAATTCTGGGATGCAGTGGCAGACATCAAGCATCCAAGGCATGAGGAAGCTTTATCAGGAGTGAAAGCCAGCAAAGTTCGCCTGTTGAGTGAAGCGGAGGCGCGCAGAAAAGACAAACCGCAAGAGCTGGCGACGAAGAAAATGCAAGCGGTAACTGAAGAGACATGTGAACCAGAACCAGTGACTGCGGCCGATGACTTCAAGATTGATTATAGGGCAGCCGCGAGGGATGCTCTAAATAGAGTACAGCAGGAAGTGGCGACGAAAGAGATCGAACAAAAAGTGAAACTCGAACTGGAGAAGGAGAAACTACAGGAGCAACTGAATACCTTCGAAGCAACGGAGGTCGAGGAGACCAAAGCACCAAGCAGTTTGAGCATGAAACCTAATGTGATATCCGGTCAAAGGTTCGGCATGGTGCCACAAGGAAGCAAGATACAGTCGATAATTTCAGTGGCTGGACACCAGGTAATCAGAAATCTGAGTGAACCATCAGAGTTCACTTTGATGCATTTGGACACATATGCAGATTATCTGAGGCAGGTGGAGCCACGCACTGAGTCGAGAGCTGTGCGAGCACTACTAACGAAGGGTGGCCCTCGCATGAAGAAACTTCATGGACGCTACCTAGAGGTCTATGGGCCGTATCAAGTGATGCTGAACGTGGATGGAATCAGTATCTACACCAGGACTTATGTAACAACAGATGATGACCAAATGGGGCAGATCTATTTGGGTGAGGAGGAACTCAGAGTCCGCAGGATAGGCCATGACGCCATGATGGAACAAGACGCAGTACACATTGGGTATGAAGCAGATGTGACCGCACATCTGCTCGACACCAAAGGAACAAAAATCGGAGTCACAGGGCTTCTGGACACAGGAGCGGTAGTGAGTGTGATGCCGATAAAAACTTGGGAAAGAATGGGCTTCACGCGGGAAGATCTAATTCCAACGAATTTCCGACTAGCCGCCGCCAATCGAGGAGCTATTTACGTAGCCGGAAGAACACCAATAACGGTCCTTCACATGGGAGGACGGGATCTTTGGATGAGCTTCCTGGTGGTAGAGAATTTGGACGACGCCGACCAATTCATCTTGGGCAGAGATTTTGTCAGGAATTTTGACGTGATGATTGACTTGAACAACGGTCTGATACGGATTAGAAACCCGGACCGAAAGTATGTTAAGAGACCAATTAATAGGATAATAACAGACGAAAACAAGGTACCATTTTTTTTAGATAGAAAAGTAAAACTACAGCCAGGACAAGCTGTGGTGGCAATTTTTAGAATGAGGAATTTGAATTCGTTAAGTGATAGTAAACAGGTTTGCTTAGTACCGAATCCAAATAGTCAGAGTTCGGTGATTTTAGGCCGGAGCTTCTCGGTAACGCGAAACGGACTGTGTGTCAGTGTGTTATTGAACACACTGGACACCACGGTTTCAATCCAGCGTGGAAAGAAGCTTGGCTACGCTTTGCCGATGAGGACAGACTATGAGGAGACACAAAAGTTGAAGAAACATAGTGTGAAAGACTGTCCTTATCATGCTAGTAAAGATAAAACTTTAAAGAGGATTAATGAATTAAAATCTATTCAAAAATTGTTTTCAATGAAATCCGAAACGGACGATGGCTTATCAAGCTGCTC